AGTACAGGCCAGACCATAAACTTCACACCATGCAAATGACCCCCCCCCCTCCTCCCCCATCTCACCCACAGCGCACAGAGACTCACATGTCCACCTGAGCGCACACACACACTGTCTCAATCTGTGTTAATTGGAACCACACCGGCTGCACGTGTGTGTCATATGTGAAGTGTAGCGGAGGCGGAGGGGTCGGCGCAGGGTTTGGTATCAACTAGGTGGACTCCGGGCTGCCTCGGTCTGAAGATGGCACTCTTTGACTGTGGTCGCCAAGGTGTTATCAAGGGAGGCACATGCCCAAACACACACACATACACGCAAGAGTTGGACACAGAAAGGAAAATGATCACACACACTCAAACACACACCAATTTCGGATCTATCTTATCGAAAATACTAGTGTTAGCAGTTGTGGTGCTCATAGCTTTGAAACTTCGCAAGCAAAAAGTCTCCCAGTTACTCAGGATATTCCACATACTGTGGTACACTGTGAACAAATTTCTCTGGAACTACTTCCTACCTAAGAATTGCCGACTGTGTGTTTACTCAAAGCCAGTTCAATGCCTCTCTTAATTCTACTGATCTTTGTTTATTATACAGTTTTTAAGCACCACTCTGGTATTCAATTTAGTGGTCATTGTGCTGTTGAATGTCTGTGGAATGTGGATTATGTGTAATGGAAAATATTAATCAAATCAGCAAAGATTTAAAACAATATCTATTTCCTTTTCACGTTAGTATTGCATCTTTAAATACATTTAATATCCCAATGAGTTAATTGATTTTAACTGAATTAATACAGGGTTATTTATTGGTATAATCATGCATTTTTCAAAGCTGTAAGCGTATACTTTATGGCCAAATCTAAAAACCAGAAATATCTGCATGGATAGGGAGATTTATTCATTTGGGTGACCTAACCCTTCATCAACATACAGTTACTGTACATCTATAAGGCAACAGAAAACAGCTGAAAAGGGTGCCAAATATACAGGCCTAGAGACCAATTTGGAACAGGGCCACTGTCTCCAACTGTGCACCAGCCACCTTTAGCTCGGTCACCATGGTGACAGCATGCGGCCCCGTCCCATAGCATTTATCCCCCAAACCCCAATAAACACCTTGATTGATAGACTGTGTGCATACATCAGTGCAAAGTGTGTTATACACGCATGCCGACACGCACTTGTGTGTGTGTGCTGGACGTTTGAGAGTGTATGTGGAGGACTAGCTGTCAGAACAGATTAGGGTGTTGCCGAAGCGCTTGACAACTCAAGCACTTTATTATTAGCCAGGCAGGACCCCATCAGGAGGGGGTCGTCCAGAAACATCCCAGATGAAATATTTTCACAGCAAGTGGAGAAGGGGAACAGGGGACGTGTCCCAAAACACGCCTGATGAAATACCGGAAAAAAAAGAGAGTGAAAGACGGAAAAAAACAAAACTTAGTGTGGCATGGGCAGATCAGAGCAGTGACCTGAGCGAAGGAAGCGGGTAGTATATTAGACAGCTAAATGACAGGACTCGGCTTTGGTTTTTGTTGACTTTAGGAGTGTGAAAAAAAAGTGTCTGGCGAAGGTGCCTCGCTCCCTTTTAAGAGGCCCTCGAGAGCAACTTTGTTCTTCAAGTGGAACAACAGCAGTTTATCTTCCACTCAGCAGACAGTAAGACAGACGGAGACAGACTCTTCTCCTCTTCATCTCTTTTGTGTTGTTTTTGTTCTTTTCATTCATTTTTTGGGGGGATTCTTTTCATAAGCTCCTTAGATATTTGTTTATTTTATCTGTATGGACTTGCTAATGCATTTATTATCTCTGTTTGAATAATTGTATTTATTAAGTGGATTTGTATCACTTTATATCTATGTTGGCTAATTATTCAGTATAATTAATTTATTTAATCAGAGTTCAAATGAATAGTTTGACATTTTGGGAAATCTGCTTTCTTGCCGAGGTAGATGAGTAGATCGCCACCACTCTCATGTCTATACGAAAAATAGGAAGCTAAAGCCTAGCCTAGCACAGCTTAGTTAGCTTAGCCTAAAGACTAGAAATATGGGGAAACAGCTAGCTTGTGTTCAAAGCACCTCTGAACCTCACTAACACATATCTCGTTTGTTTAATCTGCAATTGTAAAAAAACAAGTTGTGGTTTTACCATAACCAGGTTGGCTGTTTTGTGCTAAACTAGGGTAACCCACTGCTGGTTGTAGCTTCCTGTTTATTGTATAGACATTGGTGTCAATCTTCTTATCTGACTCTCGGCAAGAACGTGAATAAGTTTATTCCCTTAAATGTTTAAATATTCCTTTAATATTAGATTAAAAATAAACAAACAAAGAAGTAAATAAATAAATAAATAAACAAATGGAAAAAAAAAAGTCAAGAAACAGAAAAACGTAAATTGTTGTCTGATATATAGCTAACAAACACAACACACACACACACACACACACACGTGTGCAATGTGATCATTCTGCCATCCCTGTCTCTGACATCGGCTGGTGTGTGTCGACCACAAAACACACTCATGAAGGATGTTACTCACCACACAAACACGACCTCCATCTCTATCTATCCTTCACATTCTCTCTCCTCCTCTCTCACACACACACACACACACAGTGTCTCACACACACACACACACACACACAGTGTCTCACACATTTACCTGTCCCCTGCTCAAAGCTCTCTGCTCTCCCCATTTGTATGAGTGGTTATCGGTGTGGTAACTCTATCCTCTTCCTTTCATGTAAAATACATTGTGCTGAGCCTCCTCCCTCCCTCCCTCCCTCCCTCCACCACTCCTCCTACAACCCCCAGTTCCCCCAGCCTGGGGAGGTGTAAAACTATCCCTCTCTTTATGCCTCCAAAAATGCCCCTTTTTCAGGTGTAGTAGGAAGCTATAAAGGGGAAAAAAAGAAGTGAGGGAGTGAAAGGGAAGAACAGGGTGAGTCTGTGGAGCAGAGAGGAGGAGGAGGTGTTTGGGTGAAAAGGTACTCTCCAAAAACATCTCTCTCTCCCTGTCTAGGTGTACCTCTCTTTACCTGCCTGTGCTGCCTGCTGTTGTTCACAATGTGAAGGACCCAGAAATGAAAGTATAATCACACACAGTTTGTGCACAAGTATCACATGTCTTCAAACCTTTGTCTTCATTTGGCCCAGGGAGGGAAAACAAAACAAAAATAGATTTAAAACTAGACGCTGGCCTCTACATTGAACCCCCAAGACAATATGAACAATTGGAGAAATGAGAAAACAACATGCAGCATGGTCGCTCCAAGCTATAGAGTGTAGACACGTTACGCCATTCAAGACAGAGAAACGAGTAACAGTGAATTTGAAAAGGCTTACATGAGTTTATCAGGTTGAAAAAGGAACTTCCTGCTCACAATAACCTGCATGTGATTTCATGACTGCTCAGATAACAAAGAAATAACACTGATTAAAGCTGCGATCTTTGAATTCTTATACATTCAAATTACAGCAAAGATTGATTCAAGTATGGATGTCTTCAACCACAGTGAATGCGTATTCAGTGTTTTCACCACATTTCACGGTACAAATTGTTTTCATGGTACACCATTAACTAGGGCTAAAATGATAAGTTCATTAAACCTACTACAAGAAGAGTTTAACAGGTTATGAAACAGTCTCAGTTTATGACTAATGCCTCGATATTGGATTCGGTCGAATTCCCCTTAAAATCAATGAAGAGAAGTGGTGTGAACACCACCGCTTTTGTCCACAGGGGACACCAGAATCAACAAAAAATAAAAAATCAATCAACATTTTTTAAACAAAAATGCGAGACATTTGGTGAATCCTGCAAGTCAAATATGAATATTTGCTGGGTTTTTTTGTCTTCTATGACTATAAACAGAATATCTGGGTTTTAGATTTATTTTTTATTTTTAACAGTTATAGAAGACAGATGGGAAATGAGGGCAGAGAGATGGGGAGAATATAAAATGAAGCTCCCGGGATGTGGCAGTTATATAGAATTTACTTTAATCACTAGACTACCGTACTTCCCTTAAGAGATAGTTTTACTACTTTCTGACATTTAGTAGTGAATATAATAATTGGGCAGATTAATCTATAATGAAAATAATGTGTGGTTATGGTTCTAATAGTTCTAATTTCTGCTTGCTTATTTGCTTAGACTGCTAGATGCTTTTTCTGGGCTGTGTTCCTTGTACGATTTTGCGAAAAAATAAAACAGAAAGTACAAGCCTCGCACATGCTCCATGAAATCAATTTTACCTTCCTAAATGATTGTTAGATCCTTCTGTTTCAA